CATTCCCGAAAGTACATGATAATTCTAGAAACGTTGCGTCACGTGGTCATGTGACTCGCTGACGCAACAATAGTATTAGACTCACCAACTAATCTTACGAAAATTCTAGACACTCAGGAAACTTCTAGATGTCGCACGTTATCATGCCAAAAACTCCCTCTAGCAAAGAATAGGAAACGTCTAAATTAAAATATTAAAACACAGTTCGCAGTGCTATCTCTTTCCTAGACTGTGAAGTCACCTAAACAATTCTAACACACAAATAAAACAGTACACTAAACTTGAAGTTCCATAATTAGCAACAAAATCACTTTTTAAAAATTAACTTTCTTGAAATGTATACTTCTACAATTACAATTACTCAATCAATACTGAAGTATACAAAACACAAAGTACAAGCTTATGAATTTTTCTCAACAATATTTCTTTATTTACTGATTTATAGTGTCTATATTGTCCTGTAACCAGATTTTATTTTAGTTATTGTTTTCTCTTCCATCCTTGCTGTCTTGTCACCAGGGAAGATTTCTCCAATCAACTAATGGTTTTATCCTTGATGATACCCTGGAATTAGTCTCTAGTTCTCCAGCAGGTTGACTAACATCTGGTGATGTCTTCAATGAATTTAAGTAATTGGTTGTTTTCCCCATCGACGTCTCTCCAAAGATTATCAGGAGGGATTACCCTTGGTTTGAACCATCTATTCTTCTTTGTTCCACTTTCTTTGCATTCTAGGTTGGCTGTCTTCCTTAAACCTTGTGCTCATCTTTGTTGTTACTTAATGTCCAATCTCTGATAGTGTAATTGTAGTATAGTACACTGACATTTCCTGGCATGTATAGTGAAGCTATTCTAACCTCAGTCTTTGTTTCCATATGAAGTCTGTTTCCATATACATTCTTCCTCGATGTCAATTACCCACACTTCATGTTGTGTCCAGAAGATTCCAACAATAAGGTTACTTTCCATTTTCACTTTTGTTGGAATATTACATCCACTTAGTGTTCTCACTGATCCACCTTCTTTCTTCACCTCTTTCTCCCACCTTTCATTACCAGCTGTAACTGTACAACCAAAAAAGTAATATGCTACTCACTGATCCACCTTCTTTCTTCACCTCTGCAGCAATTTTCCACCTTTCATTACCTGCTATAACTGTACAACCAAAAAAGTAATATGCTACTCACTGATCCACCTTCTTTCTTCACCTCTTTCCCACCTTTCATTACCAGCTATAACTGTACAACCAAAGAAGTAATATGCTACTCACTGATCCACCTTCTTTCTTCACCTCTGCAGCAATTTCCCACCTTTTATTACCTGCTATAACTGTACAACCAAAGAAGTAATATGCTACTCACTGATCCACCTTCTTTCTTCACCTCTTTCTCCAACCTTTCATTACCAGCTATAACTGTACAACCAAAGAAGTAATATGCTACTCACTGATCCACCTTCTTTTTTCACCTCTTTCTCCCACTTTTCATTACCAGCTGTAACTGTACAACCAAAGAAGTAATATGCTATAAGGCTTCCGTCAATAAACCCATTGACTCATAGATTGGTTTCTTTAAGTAATACACTCCTCACCATAGTTTTGAAACAAATACAGTGTTTAATAGTACACAGTAAGTATTTCAAAATACGTCTGTTCTTAGTTTCAAAATACAACAAAATATTTACTATATGATGATGAAAAAATATAGAAAATCTTGAGACTGGGAATAATTTAATACATTCTACATGTTTCATGAAAATAAATAAAAACTGTATAAAACAAATGTTTTGCATATTGATAGGCGAATATTCGCAACGTGCCTCGTAACTGGTTCAATATATGTATCACAAGTTCAATTAGTTATATAATGAGGAAATGTGAAAGATCTGAAATTTAATATGCACAATCACCTAGTAGTATATAATTAAGAGTGATACTTAAGTCAAATAAAAATATTAAATTTATTTGTTGCAACAAAAGTATTAATAAATAATTTAATTTGTTTTGTGGCAATAAGGTTTGAAAAAAAAAACAATATTTACTCTCCAGGTAATAATAAAAACTTTTAATTTCAGAACTGTTCTTTAAGCTGCACTGATGAAACGTTGGTTGATATAAAAAGTTTTTTAATCGTTACGTGGACGATAAAGTTCCATTTTTTCTAACTTTATTACTAAATCCTACCAGTATGTGCCACAAGTTCTGAAACACAGCAAATTAACATGTTTTATGTTGAAACTACTTGGTAACAATTTACCTCAGAAGAGTTCCAGTTAAAAAACAATCGCAACTTCTGAGAACAAACCAAAAAGTTAAACAGCTGGAAAATTAAATTTCTCCCAGTTGATAAGATCATGATAGATTCTGAAAATGGTCTGGTTTGGTTTGAATTTCGCGCAAAGCTACACAAGGGCTATCAGCGCTAGCCGTCCCTAATTTAGCAGTGAAAGACTAGGGGGAAGACAGCTAGTCATCGCCAACTCTTCGGCTACTCTATTATCAACGACTAATGGGATTGATCTTCACATTATAACGCTCCCACGGCTGAAAGAGCGAGCATGTTTGGTGGGACGGGGATTCGAATCCGCGACCCTCAGATTGCAAGTCAAGCGCCCTAATCACCTGGCCATGCCCGGCCGAAAATGGCTTGGCAAATCTAGAATTGGAAAATTATAGGCCCTGCATTTGTTATGTGCTAAAATATATAAAAAATCAATATAAGTATCGAAATATTGCACAAATACCTGCATATTATTTTTCGCAAACGTCTGTGTAACTAAATTGTTATCAAACGACTTCAAAATAAAACAAATTAAACTGTCTTTTATGACATTACAGAGATCCTGAAAACATTTTTAGCCGCGGCATAGCGGCTCATAGAATGGTTCTGAGTTTTCTGGTTTTTTTCAAGTACAAACTTTTAGCTCATAGCTCCGTCATCTCTTGACCAATTTCAGATCTAATTACAGTTTGGGACTCAGGAGGTCAAACCCTTTTGATTGGTGTATTTCACTAAGACTAAGGTCTCATATATTAATTTACTCTAATCCTGCCTAAAAGAATTTTAATTTGAGGGTAGTCTGGTTAAGATCCTGATGAGTAATAAAATTGAATCGTATATACGCGCGCCTCACGCTTGATATTGCTGGCGCACAGAAATATAGCTAATAAAAAGGAGAGGGGAAGGTTTCATAGAATAATCCTGCCTGTGTGTGTGTGGTTGCTATGTCCTCACTTAAATACTTCTAATTCTGTATAATAAATTTAATTTTTCTTTTAAACATGACTAAACATATTTGTTTATTTTGTCACTTGATAGTGACATTACCTCTTATAATTGTATTTGATTTGTTTGTTTTTCTGCTTGTGATATGGGAGTAGAGAGACGAGACATTATATAGGTGCTTTTCGCGTTATCTTCCTTCAACTTTCAAGACCACACCTTTTGCAACTGCTGTGTAAGTTCTTTCTATATCTTCTTTTTGTTTTATTTTTTGTCCCCTACGATTTAAATGTGAATATATAATTTTAATTTTTTGCACTGATTTGTGGCGCTAATATTTCGCCTAATTGCAGTTGTCGGTGATACCTTTAAAATCACAAATGATATTAAATATGTTGTAATTATACATTAAATGGTTAAACTATAATACTTAAGAGTAGAGCATTAAGAAAATATCGTGATTTTTAATGTTACTAAGTCCTCCAGTGACTTAGACGTAAGCTTTAGGGCTTACACGCTAAAAATCGGGGTTCGACACTTGTCGTGGACATAGCGCACATAGCCCATTGTGTAGCTTAGTGCTTAAACAGAAAACAAATAATCAAACGTATTCTTAAATGTATCTGTTCTGTCAAAACTACAACTTCTTCTGTGCTGACGTGTTCGATTGAGAGTTAAGACTTGGAGAAAATAAAATATTTAAGCTGTGTCATATGAATATATTTAAAAATCGTGGTGTTTTATTTTACATTATACCAAGTACCGCATCTAAACGCGATTTAAAGCTGTAATGTACAAATCATGAACACTTATTACGTATTACACAAAAAAATGTATCAATATTATTTATAATATCTGTAATATTTATAAATTTGGTATTCTGAATGTTTACTCAGACACGTCTACACAAGTATCGTTTCAAGGTGAACACTATGAACCTGAAGATAGATATGTAAAATAACACTTTTTATTTTAATATTTGGGTCCGATTTGACCGCACTGAGAGCACGTGACGTTTAACTTGTTACTCTCTGATATTTACAGTGCCATCTCGTGGCATTAATGTAAATTTTACTTGTGCTCGCGTTATGGTATGATGTCTATCACAGGCAATAGAGTTGTTTTTCTAGGGGCTCACAAAAACCCCAGTTTTCTAGTGGAATCGTTCCAAGTTCCTAAAGAAGAAGACCTGCGAGAGGGAGAAATCCTGTTGAAGGTTCGACTAGCCACAGTTTGTGGTTCGGACCTAACGACGTTAGAGGGACGCAGGACAACACCAGTACCAAGGTAATAAGTACTATAAGTAGATATCCCATAGGCGCTTAACACAGTAACTGTATATATATATATATATATACTATTATTAATAAATAGGTTATATTGACTTAGTTTTTTTTTGACCCCTACTTCCCCACAAAATTAAGCAATCATGAAATATGCTATTTTAACACTTTGTTACACTTCTACTTTTTACTTTTACGTTTAGCGTCATCAGACGATGTTGTTGTTTGATATTAATTTAAGCACAAAGCTACACAAAGGGCTATCTGTGCTCTGCCCACCACGGGTATCGAAACCTGGTTTCTAGTGGTATAAGTCCGCAGAAACACCACTAGGGGGTGCCAAGAGACGATAAACCGCCCGAGAGATAATATTATTGGCCAACGTTTGATTAATTATTCAATTTACAAATATCCGAATAAATAACCCTTTTTTTTTAACTGTAATTTGAAAAGGAAAACTTCATATATTTTTCCTTTTCGTAGCCGTGTTTTAGTTAATTCAGTGAATTGTGGAAGGTATTGATCAGTATTAAAATGAGAGAAAAAAAAGACAATATAATCAATAAAATGTTTATTTGATAAATATTTTCTGGTTATTTGCACATAATTTTGAATAAACATAATTTTTTATGTGTTTAAAAACTGTGTGATCGTAATACAATTTCAATGTAAGCATTGTATTATGTGTGACCTTGGTTTATCTTATTTTTCGTGCTTAATATTTGAACTAAAATTAAGGCATTATTGAAGTTAATCCAAGAAATATTTCATTTGTTTCTTATTTATTCTTGGTCAAGAAACAATTAGTTAGTAGCTACTAAACACGTGTTTGTGGTTGAAACTGCAAATGTTACTTTTTCGAACAAATATACTCCTGTTCATCAAGATAAGTAAGACAAAAAGCAGCAACTTGGCATATCGGTAACAGAAAATCAAAATAGAAGTAGTAATTATTTTTATAGCAAACCCTTGCTTTAATATCAAAGAACATCCGTTACTGTAGTCAGACACGTTCTGCTAGCACAAAGAGGGAGGCTGACCTTTGTCTGATTAACTTCTATTTTTAACACTTATTTCCGCATAAATTGAAGCAGTGATTTCACTGAGAATATGCATGAAGCGTTATTGAGTAACAACCGTTGTACTTAGGCCTTGAAAACCAGAAATATACAGACATAAACAAACTGTGGAATTTATAACAGTAGGAAAAAAAATAATATTGACAAGATTATGCGAAAGAAACCGTTATCCAGCTGTATCATATTTCGAGTCACGTGCTATGTAGGCGTACAAACTTTTCAATGGTTTAACACTTTATCAGTTTGTTTTCTTATTTGTGAAGTAGGGTATTAGTTATTCTAACGTCATTAAGTGCTCAATAAGAGGTGTAGTCAGACAAAGCTTTCTTTCTCTTATCAAAATAGAAAGGTCGTTATTTTTTTCATATATTTAATTAACAGTGTATAGAGACATTAACATTTCTGTAAATGTGGGGTTTTTATACTGATATATAAGATATACTGATAAGTTTGAAAATACATTTGCAACAATCCTAAACAGGGACACGTATATACAATAAACCACGATTTATTGTTGTTTTTAGAGCAAAGCCACAACGGACTATCTTCTTTGTCCAACGCGGGAAATTGAACCCCGTATTTTAGTATTCTAAGTCCATATATTTGTCCCTAAGTGGGGACAAATATATCAAAGTCTTGTAGTCGTAAAATATTCATAAAATGAACGTCTGATCAATGTTTACATCCCACCTTAAAATTCTACTTAGTTACAGATTCGTATGCTATATCTCATACGGTATATTGTCCATATTCTTTCCATCTCAAATATGTTTATGACCATATGTTGCAGTTAAAGGGAAAATACTACCAAGCTTTAGCTGAAAGAAGTAGTAGAACACGTAAATCACGATATGCACGTGTTGTTGTAAATCAGTACGTGTTGTAAAAACGTGTAGGTATAATAAATACTCCAAGATTTTAATACACTTATTTTTGCTGGCTGAGATTGCATCTTGTTGAAACTGGACTAACAAATGTTTTCAGTACATGTAAAAAAACATTAAAGATTAGATTAATGCATCCAACATGTTGTAGAATAAATTACGTCAATTTTTTTTTCCTTCATGCATTACATTCATCTTTTTTTTTATCTTTTCCCTTCTTATTTTTTCTAATATGAGTTTCCTTGTTCTTGTCTTTTTTTAACAACACGTGTCTTTTGAAGAAGGAATGCAAATATTATAATCATCCGTTTTAATACTTGTCAACCACGCCAAAATGGTTTATTTACGTATGCTTAAGTTGACATAAAAACCGATAAAACGCAATGGAATAAAAAAACGTTCTTTCAAAATTGATATTTTTCGACTGCTACTGTCTGACAAGCAGCATGGACGGAAAATTGTGTGGCTAAAGTTGTTCCCGTATAAGTTTTATAATTCATGGTTTCTTTTTCTTTGAACGTTGCTGGTTGGTTACCGTCCTCGGACTGTGAACCTAAGGTTCATGGTTCGTGTTTCGTTACTGCAAAAATGCGTTCTGAACTTTGGGACTATGGGTGCGCTAAAAGTTTTGTTTTCTTGTATTTCGCGCAAAGCTATTCGAGAGCTATTCATGCTAGCCGTTCCTAATTTAGTAAATGATAGACTAGAGGGAAGGCAGCTAATCAACACCACCCACCGCCAAATCTTAGACTACTTTTTTACCAACGAATAGTGGAATTGAGTGAAACATTATAACGCTCCCACAGCTGAAAGGGCGTGCACGTTCGGTGACGGGATTCGACCTAGCGACCCGCAAGTTACGAGTCGAGGTTCCTTACTACCGGGTCATGCCAGGCTTACGTGCGATAAAACATGACGGTCAAATTCTGTAATTCGGTCAGACTATAGTAACCTAAGGTTTTTGCGGTGGGTGCTGTTGACGAGCTATTTATCCTGTAGGCAATGTGCAGATAGTCCTTGCGTATAGCTTTTCTCAAAAAATCTAAACCAGTTGTTCAATGCTTGAACTTTATTTTTCCTTATTCGATAAGCTGCTCGGTCTCTGAGAATCAGTGTATCCTGTAGCATAGTTAGGTAACGTTTTCATTGGAATAATAAGTTGATTTTTTAAAAAATCGCAACAGGAAAGAAGTTATTATTGTAAAACACGCCATCTGATACAATCGTGACTATTTTGTATAACCCACGACATTACATCTGAAACAGTGTTTGTTTTAAGTGCATCGAACCGAATATTTTTACATTGTGAGTTCGTAAACTTACAGTTCACCCACCGGTAGATACGTCATGTGGAACAGTCTGATATATATAGATATATAATAAGATAAATAGCATGAAAACGATCATCAAACTTTAACAAAATATCCAACTCGAGAAAGCAGTTAGTTTTAATGTTGTATAGGATTAAAAGCCGAAAATTGGTGAAGGAATAGGCCTAACAATCACATTCAAAACCAATCGTTAAAGTATTTAAACATAAACTTTTCTTTTTGTATATTTTTTTATCTTTGTCCAACATTTTCATCATACTTTTCGCTTAAAATTGTTGCAGAAATGGCGCTTGTCATGAAATCCTGGTTTCATTAGTCGCATATTTTCTCGGTACTTGTACGGGATTGGGAGTGAATTTCGAGGTGTTGCGTTGTCAAATTGTTTCTAGATTTTTACGTTCGTTGCATCCATTTATTGAAGAGATTTTTCGGGGCTGGGTCCGTTGCGGATATTCCATCAGATTCGCCGGAGATTTTTATCAATCTTTATTTTATAATCCCTTAATAACGAATGTTCGGGGGCGTCAGCTTTACTTTCAGGAGTTTGTCGATGCTGGGATTGTTCGGGTCAAGGATTTGTTATACGAGATTGTTCCCCGTTTTTTACGTAACGAGGCTATTGTCGAGTTGTGTCAAGGGGTTAATGTTTCCCTAAGATCGAGCACTATTCTGTCGTATTTACATGTGTTGCACTCAGCTATTCCTGATCCTGGAGGGTGTTGATTCTCAGCACCTTACCGGGGTCTGGCTCTTTCCATACAATTCGCTTATTTATCAGTAAGCCGTCAGGTGATGATTCTTTTTGTTTTGAGGGGTTGTCTGTGAAGTTTATTACTCGTATCTTGCAGAAACGTCTGCATTCTCATGGGGGAGCATCAGTGTTGGAGTTCAGTAGTGTTACCTTCTGAATGGAAATATTTTTGGAGGTCTTGTTTTGATTCCTTTGTGGGTTACCAGTTTGGTAGTTTAGATTTTTTAACCTGGCATCATGCTGTTACCACCAATGTTAAACTAGTTCGTATGAATCGACATCCGACTGGGCGTTGTTTATTTTGTCTTCTAGAGTCGGAACGATCTCTCATTTACAGCATCTGTACACAATTACACTGTGTTTTTCAGTGTAATTGTGTACAGCATCTGTGGAATTTTGTTTTTCGTTTGTGGTGGGCCATGAACTAACTGATCGCGAGAAAAGACTGTGAATTGGTGGGTTCTATTCTGGAGATATCTAAATCTCGTGTCAGATTGTGCCGTGTTATAAGTTCGTTAGCTAAGTTGTCAATTTTTAATGCTAGGTCGGTGCTGCTAGCAGAAGGACAGCTTAGTTATTTTCGGGCACGATTAAAACAGCGCATTTATTTTGATTTCAGGCGATTTTCATCCAAGAATGATTTGGGAGGATTTTATTTTCTGTATGAAACTGTTGGTAAGTTAGTGTCGCGGAGATCTCAGGGATTAGTACTTGCTCAGACTTTGCTCTAGTTATAATGTGAACTTTTGTTTTTTGATTATTGTTAAAATATAACTATTTGTGTCATGATATTCTTTTTAGTATCCTAGTAAGTTACTGGGTTTATGCGTCTGTATATAAACATTTCCCCAGGTTTCTAATTAATTACTATTCATTTTGGTGTTATTGTTATTTCCATGATTTTTTCCTAATTTCCTTATGTTACTATATGTAGTTTTTTGTTGTTTTGTTTTAATTTCTGATATGTGTATATTATTATATTTTTTATATTCTGACATTTTCTGTTGTTTGTAACTGTCAGTCATTGGGCTTAATGTACAGTTTATATGTTCATGCCCCCTCTATGAGGGTGTTTTTTAATAAAGAAAAAAAAAAAGACGTGTGTGGTTGGACACTATTATTATACTATTTTCTAATTCTTGAAAAATTCCTAAGGAACTGGATATAGCATGTAATAGGCCAGTACTAATTAATGTCTTATGACAAGTAAATAAATTACAATCATACTACTGTAACTTTAAATAGGCATTCACACCATAACAAATTATAATTATTCTTTTTTAGTATTTTAGGCCATGAAGCAGTTGGGGAAGTCGTTTGCAGCCGGCGGACAACAGATAATTTTTCAGCAGGAGATCGCGTGTCATTCACAATATACGATTTCTGCGGCAGATGTCACAGTTGTCGCGACGGTCTTCCGCAAAAGTGTGAACATTTAATGAAGGTACAGCGATATTCGTAAATGCATATAAAATAGCTTAAATGTTTAAAATTTTCAAGTATTATTGTTTAATATTACAGCCCTAAAAC